TCTTCAACCTACAAATGACTTAATTACCAATAACTTAACAACGAGTTACTTAAACATACCCACGTGTTACCAATATCTCAACAAGTTACCAATAACATACCAAAGAATTACCAACGAGTTACTGCTAGCAACCTACTTTTTAGTCTACATAGCTACATTGCTTAAAGCTCAACAACATGTTTGCAAACTATTCTCAACACAGTAAAAAGTTCATCAAAAAGATATGAAGCATTTTAAAACACTAAAACGGATATAAGTCAAAATGTAAGAAATCATAGACTGCTGCAGGTGCTTTTCTTCTTCAAGGAGATAAAAAGGAAATTTATATTTTGATACAAACACGCAACATTTGAAAGCTCAGATACTGATCTTTCATTATGGTAAATAATCACGGTAACTTATTTAGTAATTTTAGTTATGCACCAGAGCGAGCTGAAGCTGGATTGCTTTTTTGCGACACGGTTTCAGTAAATACTATACCAAGTCCAATAAAAATCCATCTGCCAATCAATCAACACGAATAAAGACTGTAGAGATTTATTTTATTGTAAAGACTATAAGCAACAAATTCTACGACAAAATACATAATGTTCACTACAGATATATTCATTATAGTCATGAAATCATCACTTTATTAAAAATTTCCTGATGGTTTCATTTTCATTTCAGTGAATTTTAAAGAATATGAAAATCCTTTCCAATCTTTCCAAACAACACCTTTGTACCAAGATGCAGAAGGTTGATAATTGCCATGATAATAATACCCATTTAGGTTGGAATCATAACAATAATAATACCACCAAGCACCTTTAGCATGTACAGCGCAGTTTCCTACAACATCTGTATCGTTGTCTGAATCTTTTGTCGTAAACGACTTGTTTTTATGGGCGGATAATGAATCCCCAGCAGTTCCTAAATGGCGATAATTGTATTCAAGAGAACACACACTTAACAGAAAAGTCTTTTATAATGCTTTACATTTTGCTACTACAGTCTTACTTGAATGCTTGTGTAATATTAAGGTTTATTCAATAGACAATTGACAAAGATATTTACAATAAAGATGTTCTTTTTGCACTAACATGTTTCTCATCATTTAGTTCTTTGATTATGTAGAGAAATATTTAAAGTAATATACAAAATTCACCTGTGTGTTTTATATAAAAAGATGTTCAGATCCTTGCTCACAATTTGCTGTACACAAAGCTGAAGCTGAATTGGTAATTTATTTTAATGAGTAAATTAGTCTTTATCCTTTAATGTCTCTCTACTATTGCCTCTCCAGAAGTAGTTGTTGCAGTTTTGTAATTTAGTTGCTCTACTGGTATTTTCAAAACTGTATTCACACGACAAAATAATTTATATTTACCAATGGGGTTGTTTGTTGTATTTTATAAGTTTAAACAATATATTGTTCCTATGACAAATATTTACCAAAAAAGGTAAATCAGTTTATGCAAACTCCAACCATCCAAAGCATTTTAATTTAATGATGATATAATTTTTATCATATTCACCTTTTGAATTTTGTGCTTTAATTGTTTGTATTTGCCTATTGACTTAAAAGAATATTTTCAAAGACTCAATTGATATTTTTCATTTTCGTTCTTCACAGCAAAATAATCATATTCAGCATATTCTTTGTTTCCTGACCAGTCTCCAAGATCAACACGAAGTTTATTTCGCCTTGCAGATGTTAGTCGGTATATTTTCTCCAATCCAAGCCAGAATTCGCCTTTCAGATCACCAAAACCTTGTCTATAAGTCTTTCCAACCTTGATAGAAGTTTACATTTCCATCTTGACGACGTTGAAACACAGTCCAACCTCCACCAGATGACGTCATATAACAGAAAACCTTAGAGTAACCCTGGATCAATTTGATAAACTCCGTTCTTTTTTTCACCTTTTTTGTAAAAATCTGCACAGTCCTTCTCTTGTATCTCCTTTGAGCTTTGCTTTATTCCTGTTAGTTTGTGACATTCTTTTGAAAGCCTTGTCAAATGTTTTTCAATAGTTTTTAACATGTTTTTTGTTTTTGCTAGTTGTGCTTCGAATGTTTTCTTTTGTATGTATAGCTTAAGTAATCTTTGGCGGCATTTCGAATTCCAGAAGCCACATTTCATGTTAGGGCTGCATCTTTTCTAATATATTTAAATATACTTATATGTTCAGCATTAATGTTTTTCACATACACCAACATACATTACCTATTTTTCACTTTAATTACTTTTATGCAATATGAACACAGAGTTAAAAAACGATAAAACTAAAGCCTTGAAGGATGCGAAAGGTAACTATGACACTAATATTCAAATAGCACAGGGTGCACGAACAGAATTACATTGGTCGGTTTTAAATGCTGAAAATTTATTTCAGAAATTTTCAGGGAGAAACACCAGTACACAATTGCCACTGATGCTTTCCTGTCAGGGTGAGAGGCATTGCATCAAGGAACATTCACAAGTGGTGCATGGAAAAATCCACTCTACAAACAACTTTTGACTATTTAGAAATTTTAGCTATCTAACGAGGTCTACAAACCTTTGCAAAGCATATTGAGAACACGCACATAAGAATACTGTATGGCAACACAACTTCAGTAAACATCATAAATCATATGGGCACACGCTATTCAGACATAACTAATACTATGACAAAAATGATTTCGGAATTGTGTATAAATAAAAACATTTGGATTAGTCTTGCTCTCATCTCAGGCAAACGAAATATTGTCGCTGATTGAAATACAGTCGTTTTGATAAGAAATCCTTTTTGAATAGAAAGATGCGCAGTTTGATAACCTTTTCTTGAACATTTGCCATGAGTATATTTATATAGATAAATATTTATAGATAACAGCCTATACCAACACTTAGAGCTCAGTACATGCACGAGTCAATACCATCAAAATAAGAATTTTGATATAAATGGTATACAAAAAACATTTTATGTTTTATGATGACAGTAGCTGAAAGTAAATTATTGTTGATGTCGTGTTATATGTCATATATGAATTTTTTCATTTTTTTACCTCTATCACTTTTGATGTTGATTCAGTGATAGCTTCAGCAGTTGCATGTACTTGAGATATGACATGCACGTACTATGAAGAAGACGAAAGAATTTACATGGATTACAAAGCAACATCTATTTATTTACCGTAATTTGTCAACTAGTTGGGATAATTACTAATTTGACTGAAAATAGATCAAGTTCAACCACTTACAACAGTTTATAATGTTGTTTGTGAATGTTGTTTTGGTATTCACCTCCGCTAACGAAAGGTCGTAAATGTGTCTTCACATACAAGAGTTCTTGGCTTTTGAGAAGTGTCTAAGTTTCTTGACTGTATACGATTTTTTTCATACTGTATCAACCCTAAATATGGTTTTCAATTATTATTTGGTATAGTTATAAATATATAAAAAAATTTTATTCAAGTTGTGTGTTTCTTAGTCAAATGATTTTCGACAGATGAGAGTAGAATTATTACATTAAAGATCAGCCGGTATAAAGACGGTGGAGGTAGTAGGAGAATAGAAGTAAAACATTAGTGATCGAACAGTATAAAGCTAGGACCATAGAGGTAGGAGAATACAAGTAAAACATTAGTGATCGAACAGTATAAAGCTAAGACCATGGACGTAAGGCTCATCTTTGCTCTCATTTCCCTCTGTTTTACGATTATCGTAAATTTTTCAAACTAATAGTTCATTTTCATTCATTTAAATTCAATTTATCTTCTCGATAAAAAGCAACTTTTAAATTTATGTATAGTGATTATGAATATGTTAATTAAGGATTGTGCTTGACTCTCAATTAGAATAATATCAATAGGTAAATTGAAGACTTGTTAATAGTATTTTGTCTTTTTAAAATTAAATCTATATGTACGCTATACGTACCTTTTTTCTTAATCCGCCCGTACTCGCACGGTCAGCGGCTAATCACTACGTGAAATGTGGTTGTATCTAACATCTTTTAGTATTATCGGGCATCGCATAATAAGGCCTGTTTCAAACGTTGAATTTTGCAATTTCTCGAATACAATTTGGCGCTCGCGTTTTGCTCACAACAAAGTCTGGAACGCGATAAAGGAAAGGCGTCGTGTAATATTATTGAAAGAATAACAATCAACGTTGAATAAGGGTTGCTGCATTTTTCCAAAACAAAGTAGAAGTGCTTTTACAACAGAGATTTTTAAAATACGTTGCCTCAGACTAGTTAAAATACACAAGGCATGTTCAATTTTTTATCTTCTTTGCTTAGCTTGCGATATAACATGACAATGCAAGTCTGTAATTGTTTACCGTGTTTAAATTTGAGCTTTGCGCCATATTAAAATATCTATTTTTACCATAGATGTAGTAGTCATAGGTACGTACATATTATATGTGTGCGCGTTGGGCCATCATGATTATTCAATATGGCGGCGTCAACAGGGCAAAAGATATGTAGATTGTATTACAAAAATGAGGTTTTTCGTAGTTCTTGCCATTGTATTGTATCGAAATTTGTCCAATCAAAGTTTATTTGAAAAAGGAACATACAGCGATTATTTTAAGCATGTATTTGAGTGAATTCAATAAAAACTCGCGAAGTTATCCACCGATAACAGTTTGTGTAAAATGGTCACTTGGTCAATTCCTGCGTTTATTGCCAGAAACATTGTACTTTGTTGACATCTAGCTTTTTCAACTTGAGTAGTGTATCATGCTCTTCAAACAGAACATTCAGACAATTTTACTAGTTCATTTGTCTGCATCGATTTAACATGAACTATTTGCTAATCAGTTCAGTGAAGTTCCAAACAAAAAACTGTGAATACGAGAAAACCGATTTTTCATACGAAATTGGTCATGTAGCTGTCGTAAAAATGCAATGGATAAAAGTCATATTACAAAGAGCAGTTTAAGTACAGATTGCCTTTAAAGTACTTGCACTGACTTTTCCTTTGCATGCATATTTAATCAGTTTGTATCAGTTTCCTTTTCTTTCGATGAAACAACAGCAACACACACCTCTCAATAACGTCCATAGATTGCTTTGTGATGTTTTCTTCTGACCATGTAATTGTTGGGTTCAATAGTCCGTTGAGGATGAATTAATTTCCAGACATCCAATGCAGTTTTCTTTTGTCGCACCCTCCAAAATAAGACACTGTGTCACACTCAGTTAATGGATGGAATAATAGCTGGCTTAAAAATCTTTTAAAGCTAGGAAAGCTTGCTATTTCTTACACTGGGACATTTTTAAATTTTCTTTTCCGAGCCATAAATTATTCAAAGTTTTTCAAAATCGATAACATTCTCCAGTGAATCTATATTGAATGCAAGATAAGATATTCCGTAGAATATCAACTTTATTTGTTGTCTCAAACTGTTTCGGGAAGTAGAAGAGAAAGTCGGGGGTAATTTATTCTTTAAATGTTCATAAAGGTATTGGCGGAAGCATTTTTTCGATAGCAGCACTATAAACCACCTTGTGACATGCAGTATAAAGTATATAATTAAATCCATCTGTTTTTAAATGACGTGTGATGCTTTATGATATTGTCGTGTTGAACAAGCACTTTGATTAGTCTGCTTGTTGGCATGTTCATAGCTGCTCGATAACGATAGTTGCATAGGTTGGTTTTTGTAGTAAGTCACTCTTTGAAGTATCTCTTAGTTTGCTGGCAAAGTATGAACGCGAAACCAAAACAACAGTCAATCTTTAACAAAGGAGTTTTGGCCTTATTTTTCAAATAGATTTCTTAGTGTGTTTGTGTTTGTTTTTCTGCATCAGATCTGTGATTGCATGGTTTGAGGAGAAGTCAATAGATTGAGTGACATTTAAATGTCCAAAGAAAAGGACATTAGCAACGACTTCTTTGTAACAAATAGTTTACATTGCTACATGACGACATATTTTATTAAATTGACCTCTGTCAACTAGTGAAAGTTGAACTCTGTAATATATCAATAACTATTCGGTTGAACATTAGTAAAATTATAATGAAATTTCTTACTTTGCAGAGATCCATACATTGTAAATATAGTCAATTGGAAATTTACAAAACAGCTTTTCAGCTGCTAGAAGAAAAAACTAATTTATTCTCCCACACAAACAATTTTTGAAATTTAAATATTAAAGCAGCAGGTAAAGCGTTTCTATTATGCTGCGTAAATGCAAAAAAAATGTTTTAAGGCATCATGCATAGAGAATTTTCTAAAGTAATTTTGGATGTATGTTAAAGCATAAAAGATGAATAAATTGGGTTCATTGCTACCTGACGAAGCAAAATGTATTAGAGACATGATGAGTAAAGTACAATCTCTAAAAAGGCGTGTTAGAGCCCCATCTACGTCCTATGACTTCTCTAACTGGCTTCTCAAACCTAAAAATTCACAACTCTTGTTGACGTTGCGTGACTCAAAGAAGAGAATGAACAACTTAACTGCAATATTATATGCGTGTCTTCGTGAGAATTTCAATGCAAATTTAAAGCACGCTAATATAATTACGTCAATGGGATTAAGCTGTTGAATAATTTAAACATTAAAAAGAATTTTTTTAAGAGGTGTTTATATTTTTTTGCAATCAGTATTAAATATTCCCTGTCACACAATCTGACTCAAAAGCAACGTAACAAAAGAGACATTTCTTTGCAGATTTTTTTTCAGAAAGCGTTTTTTATTGTAGAAACTGAATAAATTTGAGAGAATGTTTTTCATTCAATGACAATGTAATATTTTTAAAACAGAATTGTAGAAAATCATTATTATTTTCAGAAAAATTGTTCAAAAGTATAATCTAATGATGTACATTTATACATATTGTACAAGTAATGGGCCCAAATAACTTAGATTTGACATTATGTTAACAAGACACAAACATACGTAGTACGCCAAAATTTATGATAGAAAAATAAAAAAGTATGTGCAGAAACTTTACTTTTATACATTCGGTGAAAACGAAAAAACACTTACCTGTATGAGGATTGTCACTTATGAAATTGTAAGTCTTAATTTTTCTCTGAAAATGTTTAGGGGGAGGGTGGGGGGAGGGGGTCGCAACCATTAATTTGTCGTTTTTTGTCCTTATTTTCCGAATCTTGAGAGAGGAAAGGGAAGTAATACGTTAAAATGAACTAAATTTGTTAAAAACATTAGAAATTAAAATCATGTGAAATGTGATGTATAGAGCTAATTATCTTAGAAACTAACGTTGTTCGAATATGATGTACTTTGGAAAGTTTATGTTAAGTTAAGTAAAAAGGGGGTAAATCATATTATAATGAGCTATAGAATTAAACAAAAGTTGCTTATAGACAATACTTCTTTTTTGCTTTATAGTATTTTATCTATGAACGGAAACTAACACCTGCAGTGCACATTTTTCTTTTAGTTTATAGAGACACTTGAAATAGTTGACCAATTTGAATAACGTCAAAATAAACATATTTCTTCCCGGGGTGTTGTTATAAGGAATTAAAATAATTTGGTCTGTTATTTTCAATGTAAAAGGTATTTCTTCGAATTGTTGAAACAATATTTTTGTTGCATATTTTTTCTGACACTAAATTTCTGCAATTACGGCTCCTTATCCAAAGTATAATTGAAAATCTTAAAAATTTGTGTCCCCGTCCACAGAAAAGTACTTGTCTTGTATTGATATCAAAATTCAAAAAGCCAATATTACTAGCACTTTAGGACAAGACAGTTTCTGCTTCAGTTATATTTTTTCTAAGCTGCTGTTTTTAGAAGAATAGAAAACGACTCGTCAGAATTCAAAAGAGAAATTTTATTGATAGCCAAATTGCCTCTTCAATGGTAAGTAATGAAAACATAAAGAAAACCTTAAATTCAGAGCCTATCACATAATTTAAGAACAATAGCTCTTATTGATTAAACTTCCTTATCAAGACCATACATTTCATTTATCATAGTCATGCTTATACGTAATCCAACAGATAATCTAACACAATCTTTATCTTATAAAATACTTAAAGCATTATGAAACATTATTGTATGTTTTTTTAAACATTTTCTATAGTTAAGAATAGCGCAACCATGCATCATATATACATAGCTGCCATTTGGTAATTTGACTAACTTAAAATTCTTAAAAACTTTTACTGTTTCGCAAATCTTTTATCATTTTATATTTATCCTTATGATGAAAACAAAACGAATTGATTGATCACAACCAATGATAAAGTTCTACTAATTGATATTTATGAATGTCTGGAAATATATTATATCATATTTCCATTGATACGACAGAGAAAATAGTAGCTACATCAAAAATATTTGAAGCAACCATCATTAAGTATTTTTGTTCTGAATGCAGATAACAAAAAAATGTTTTCCAACTATCATCGACATTTAAAAATTATAAAATATTTGCAAAGTGTTTTGCGTTTTTACATGAGAATGATAGTAAACTAAAACTTCAATGCATGTGTGATAAAGAATATTTGATCGGACATTAAAACTAAGCTTTAGGATTGAGGGAAATGATAAGGAAAGAGAGGTACATATTTCAACAAATTGAAATGGGGCAAATCATCATCAAACATCAATACAGAAGTCATTTTAAAAAGCAAGGAATGCATGCAAAACAAATGATACATTTTTCGTCTCTTGTTTATTTTGCTACAATTATTCAATATTGCAAGATTATTTTCAACAGATGGAAAACGCCTTTTAATTGTCTGAAACAAAATATTTGAAGAATTACAACTTTTTGATACTTAAAGTTGAATTCCTCTATTTAGTTCTTTAGACTTTTTTTTACATTAGCAATTCTGTCGAAATGCTCATAAATTTCATTCAATTCAGAACTTATATAATTATGAGAGTCGAACTTCTCTTTACCACTGACAGATGTTGTAAACAGAATATCATGTATATCATGTAAAATGTAAGTCGAAAATTGTGCTCTGAAAATATAAATGAGGGGGGGGGGTCTGCAACCACTAATGTGTCTTTTTTGTCCTTATTTTCTGCATTTTTGAGAGAGGAAAGAGAATGAATACATTAAAAGAAACTAAATTTATTAAAAATATGAGAAATTAAAATCATGTGAAATGGGATGTATAAAGATAATCACCTAAGAAACTAGCCTTGTTTGAATTTGATATACTTTAGAAAAATTCATGTTAGGTTAAGTAAAAAGGAGGTAAACCATGTTATAATGAGCTATCAAAATTGAACAAAAGTTGCTTATAGACAATACTCCTTTTTTGGCTTAATAGTATCTTATCTATGAGCGAAAATTAACATCTGCAGTGCACAATTTTCTTTTAGTTTATAGAGACACTTGAAATATTTGACCAATTTGAATAACGTCATCGTAAACATATTTTTTCCCCGAGTGTTGTTATGAGAAATTAAAATAATTTGGTTTGTTATTTTCAATGTAAATGATATTTCTTGGAATTGTTGAAACAATATTTTTGTTGCATATTTTTTCTGACACTTAATTTCTGCAATTACGGCTTTTTATCCAAACTATAATTAAAAATCATCAAAATTTGTGTCCCCGTCCACAGAAAAATACTTGTCTTGGGTTAATGTCAAAATTCAAAAAGCCAATATTACTAGCACTTTAGGACAAGACAATTTCTGCTTCAGTTGTATTTTTTCTAAGCTGCTGTTTGAGAAGAATAGAAAACAACTCGTCAGAATTCAAAAAAGAAATTTTATTGATAGCCAAATTGCCTCTTCAATGGTAAGCAAAGAAAACATAAAGAAAACCTAAAATTCAGAGCCTATCACATAATGCAAAAACAATAGCTCTTTTGAATTTAACTTCCTTATCAAGACCATACATTTCATTTATCATAGTCAGGCTTATACGTAATCCAACAGATAATCTAACACAATCTTTATCTTATAAAATACTTAAAGCATTATTAAACATTTTTGTATGTTTTTTTTAAACATTTTCTGTAGTTTAGAGTAGCGCAGCTAATCATCATATATACTTAGCTCCCAATTTGTAATTTGACTACAACTAAAGATAAAGTTCTACTTATTTATATTTATGAATGTCTGGAAATATATTATATCATATTTCCAATGATACGCCAGAGAAAATAGTACCTACATCAAAATACTTGAAACAACCATCATTAAGGATTTTTTTCTAAATCGAGATAACAAAAAAATGTTTGTTAACTATCATAGACATTTAAAAATGATAAAATATTTGCAAACTGTTTTACGTTTTTACATGAGAATGATAGTAAAATAAAACAGAATGCATGTGTGATAAAGAATATTTGATTGGACATTAAAACTAAGCTTTAGGATTGAGGGGAATGATAAAGAAAGAGAGGTACATAATTAAAGAAATTGAAATGGGGCAAATCATCATCAAACATCAATACAGAAGTCATTTTAAAAGCAAGGAATGCATGTAAAACAAATGATACATTTTTCGTCTCTTGTTTCCATTTGCTACAATTATTCAATATTGCAAGAATATTTTTGACAAATGGCAAATGCCTTTTAATTGTCTAAAACAAAATATTTGAAGAAGTAAGAATTTTTTTAATACTGCAAAGTTGCATTCCTCTATTTAGCTTTTAGATTTTCTTTACTTTAGCAGTTCTGTCAAAATACTCATAAATTTCATTCAATTCAGAATTTATATAATTATGAGAGTCGAACTTCTCTATACGACTAACAGATGTTGTAAAGCAGAATATCATGTATTGTTTAACGGCCTTCATTTCTGTAACTAAACGACATATACTTACAGAATTTCCATCGAGTCTGTTAAACACTGCCCAACAGATTATTTGGCATTTCACTTTGCTGGCTTAGTTAAACAATACGTCTTTCCCATTCATCTGGTAAACTGAGTTAACATGAGCAAATTTGAAATCAACCCATTTTAAATTTTTTCTAAACCGCTCTTGGTGAATTTCATATATTGCGTCATTTCCTTATAGTGGACATTGAAATGTTTTATTTCTTTCTATCCTTTCGTTTCCTAGAAACCTTACATCTAATTATTCAAAACACGTTCTAGGCGGGTGAACTCTACTTATATGAATTGTTGTAAACATGAGTCTTTATAATGAACAATTTGTCTAATCTATTGCAATAATATCCAATCATCATAAATTATCTGAAAGCAAACGTGAAAATACTTTTTTTGAAGGAAGTTTAAATGTTAGATAATTATAGAAATCCATACTTGATTTAGATAGCAAAAAAAGTTTAAGAACAAATAATTATATGATTATATTTATGATAAGCCTTTCAGAAATAAAGTAAATGTTTTACTACAAAAGCTTTAAAAAATTAGTAATCGTCCACCTTCTAATAAATAGAAAATAAAGATGATATCAAGCTCAACAAAAGCGTTTCTTGGGGCTCTCATAATCCTGTCTATTAGTGGCCAAATAGTAAATGGTAATGACGACATATCAATATGCAAGAAAAGCTTAGAGACATTAAAAGACAACGTGAAAGAATGGATGGAAACTTGCGTTGATAAAAATGGCAATGACGATACCACAACTGCATGCAAGGAAGTAAAACAATACAACAAAGAAGTGATGCAAATGCAAACAGAAATGTGTTTTTACAAAGGTATAATCTTTAGATTTGACAAATTTTCATAGTTTCTTGTTCATAGCACCAAAAACAATATTCAACAAAAATAGGTAGAAGTTGTGCAGCCAATCTAATTTCAGTTATTAGTAATATTTCTACAGTGAAAAATTCTTTAAAAAAATACTTATTCTGGTCTTTCACAAAATATTATGATCGTAAAGTCTATAAAAAATTGCATTTTTATAATCCACTCTCATCGTTGTTATTTATAGTTTTTCTATTATTTATTTAGATGTTTATCCAAAGCCATATATGATTATTATGAGCTTTGATAAAATATACTCTGTTGATTCTATTACTGGAGATATTTATGTCAGCACTATTAATGGCTCCAGTAAGAATAAATCTGACCATGCATCAAGATATAATGACATAGAAATTGATGTAGTTGAGAATGTGCTTTACTACATTGATGACAATGACATCAAACGGGGAAATCTTGCCTTGACTAGAAACGAAATTTTTGCGAAAAATGTTTCTGTTCATGATATTACAGTTGACTGGATTGGTCGTCGTATCTTTTACATTGACTCCACGAACATTATCTACCAAATTTATTTGAAAAAGGAAATTACAAGTGTTATGAGGCTTCAACCAGGCTTACAATTTTCCAGCATTGCATTTGACTCAAAACAAGGGTAAGGCTATCTTGAAATTCTTTTTAATTACTTGTAAGCGTAAAATTAATAAACTATGTCAATCTATTTGAGGGTTTTCTTACGTAAGGTAAGAGTTTTTGTTTTTAGAGATGGTGTTTTAATTTAATAGAAAAGTTGAATTTTATAAGTCCGTGTTATGGTTTGTTATTTAAAGGTATAAATAATAGAAAAAAATCGATTTTCCAGGGAAATCGAAACTCGCTTTTTCCCGAGGAAGCGAATATTAAGTATTTTATGATAGTGCTTTATGCAGTGCGGATGAAAGATATGATCTTCGCACTTTGCTGGACAATTTAAGCAATTGTCTCATGAACCCTAAAAAATTCAGGTGACTCAACGGGATTCGAAGCCATGACCTCTGCGGTGCTGGTGCAGTGCTCTGACCAACTGAGCTATGATTGACCGCAGAGGTCATTGGTTCGAATCCCGTTGAGTCACCTGAATTTTTCTGGTTCATGAGACAATTGCTTAAATTCTCCAGCAAATTGCGAATATCATATCTTCAGTTAATTAAGTAATTTGTTGGCTATAAAGAAACAAACGCCATATAGTTCGACAGATTTTTATTAAAATCAACGTCTTTCGGAGAGATTTGGCCAGCAAAATTTTAGTGCGTGACTATAAGGAACTTCAAACCAACTGCAATAATGAACACGTTTCGTGTGATTATTCAGCGCACATGCAGTAGAAAATAACATGCAGATCCTGAAATTGCAAAAATCGACAGCGATATTTATGTTGAGCAACCAAAGAGCTTTTAGAAAAAAGGTAACAACGGAGGGATCAATGTTTATATATGATGAAGACATTAAATGAAATAAAACAGAGCGGTTAGAAACTGAAATAAAATATTAAATAATTACTTTGCATATAAAACTTTAGTCAAATACTCACAGAACCTTGGCTTTCCACAACTAACAAAAAAGAAGTACAACTGCACTGTGAAACTTAGTGTTGTACATTTGATTCCATTACTGGCTTGGGTTAGCCACCTAAGAGCGCTTTTCTTTATCAGAAAAAACAATTTGCTTGAGGCCTCCATGGTAATCATATGCTTAATAAGACATGCCCTACACAAAAGATTTCAACAAATTGGGAGCATTGTTTGTTGCTATACTGTGCTCTTTTGTATACTTTTTTGAGGCAGTGTAAGAGATGTGCAACAATCTCATTACGGAATGGCAATAAAGTTTTAAAATATTCACGAATGTGGTGAACGTAAAAAACCTCAACTTTTCGTTTTGTAATGAAGATAAAAAGAACTACACACATTCCCACGTAGTTACATGAAAAATATAAAAATGGATTTTAGTTTTCAAAAATGTGGCAATTTAAAAAAACATAATCAATATATCAAGTTTATAGTTTTTCAAGCCTTCTTTTAACTTGCATTGAATGGCAGAGTATATTGAAAAGTCGAGAGCAGCAAATTAAGTGGCTGCACACTTCCTTTAATAAATCCAATCACACATCCAATCAAATCACCTGATTGCAAAATCATTCCACTAACTTTAGTTCATGCAGTGTTTCTTAGTGTAGCTTAGGCAAACGTTAGGTCTGTAGTTGCTCCACTGATGATGATTCTGAAGGTAATAATCATGTGATTAAAAAGAAATTTGACTGAAAAGCCTTGTTGAGCGAGAACTTTCTGAATATGTTATAAATAATTTAGGACTTTAAAATAATTTCCTCTTCTAACGATTCCTATAAACTCTCCATTCATGAGAGCCTTCTTATCAATAAATACAAGCCTTCACTCTTCGTGCAAGGAGGTTCCATTCCACTAAACGTTATTTAACTTCACTAAATTTTACTTACTATCATGTAATTCATTTGACACCGCCTCCTTTAGTCGTAATTCAACACCTTTTGTAAATACAATATCTTGTCTTAAAATCTCATTATAAATTATTACTTGCCTGAATATGTCTTGAGTAAGAACGAAATGTCTGTATAACTTCAATTTTACAGCTTTTGGTCTATTTTTATAGCTCTAATTAAAACTTTATGTTAGGCATTAATTGTTATCATATTACAAGAAAAAATTAAGTTTCACGAACACAAAAAGCCAAAAGAATGGCAATATATGCGAGAAAGTTTTTAAAGAGTTCGGGGCAAGTAGCAATGAACGACAAGAACACATGGACTTTACTGTTACTCAAATGAGTAATAATTTTAAGAAATGTATATGAGAATGCAAAACTGCCAGTTGCATCAAAAATTTTCGATAAAGTAAAGGCCATAGTGTTCAAGCAGTTTTTGCAGCTTGTCCAATCCAAAGATTCTAAAAAACACGAACATGACATGGCGATAGAGTCATCATTTTTAAATGATACCAATAGCGTTAGCTCCAGTGTCAATCGTCTTCTGATTTTTCAGAAAAACAATGAAAAAATTTGACAATTAAAAAGAGAAGGTTAAGATAGTTATAAAAAATCGTTTGTCCAAACAAACAGAGAAAAGTTTCAACAAAAGACAATGTTTTTGAAGCTATAGCTCTTTTAAAAACATTTGTGGATGATGATCCATCCAAGGAGCTGCAAATTTTCATGCAAGATGAAACTGAAAAATTAAGAAAGCTTAAAATTGAAATGACAAAGCTTTCTTAATTTTATATCTACATGAAATGGTGCATATCATTTACCAACACCAAATTTTCAATTCGAACAAAAATTCCACGCATCAGCTAATTTTCAGCATTATCAATTACCAACACAATTCATTCAGCAGCCACTCCAAACTACAGCATTACTCATTCCGACAATAATGTCAAACAATACCAATCATTATTGAATTGATGTGAATAAAAATAACGTATTACATTTATTATTATGTTCTGAACCACATGCATTGTTTAATTACTTCATATATTTTAGTTCAGTTTTTAAAAGAGAGATTTCAAATGATAAAGGTGATCTTTTCCTGTTAGTTACAATAGCTTTATGTTGCTATATTATCAAATTTCATAAATATGTTCCATTAAACCGTCTATATATGAAGGTAGTTCTTAATACTTTGACAACATCTTTGTCTAAACTAAAAAAGTATTCTATCTTTCCTTTCTTGCATATATTAGCTTGCCAATTGTTTATGTATTTCAGTACGTATAGAGAAAACTAATGTACAAAACAAATATTTTTATTAAGGTATCTATTCTTGGCAGAAAGTACAGAACTTTTCTTATGGTTATGGAGCATGACTGCAAATAAACATCATATTCTTTCAGTTTCACTTCAGTCAATAGCATATGATCTAACGCTTGACATGGCTAAAGAGAAGATTTATTGGCGAGTTTCAAACGGAAATATTTTTTCTTATGTTTACTACTCCCAAAATGTAATTGATTTTGGAACTTCACGAGGTCCCATGGCAGTATTTGGGGATTTCATTTATATCATGACTAGTGTTGGACGTAGTGTCGTTAGTGTCCATAACACAACAGATCAACGTACGAGACGTAAATATTTTCTTCCTGTAAACAACAGTTATCTTGATTTGGCTGTAGCAATACACAGTATCACTCCTGACAAAAACGGTAGTAAAATATTTACTTATTTAACATAATAATCTAAGACTTCAAAAAACTCCCACGCTAATGTTCATAAAATAGAAAGACGTTAAAAGTTCAAAGTTACATTGCCTTAGTAAACGGTTGTTCTTCCTTCCAAAATAGTACAAAATTTGATGAACATTAAGTTCAAAGTGCAAAGTGTCTAATTTGGACATTTTTGCCGTTTGTCTATTCTTATCAAACTTCTTGGGTGTTAAATTTAAGTCTTTATTGTTTCTTACATCATTTAAACAATCACTTGGGCTTGAAATCAGCCTTAAATAAAAAAAAAATCATGAAAATAGATTGTAAGACAAAAACGTCCAAATTGAGCATGTTGTGCAGTGAGCTTAATGTTTATCAAATTTCTTAAAATTTCAGTATATTGCAAAACAGAGTTTAAACTTTTACATCTTAAGATTAAACTAGATTTGAAACTTTTCATTTTCTTTGTGCATGCTGTTCAAATTGAGGCGATTACGAAGTACTCTCATGGTTTTTGAGATTAGTTTTTTCATTCATTTTACTTTAAATAAACAAGGCAAAGCCATGCCAAAATACATGAGCTTTGACACATTTTGTGAGAACTACTGATGAATTGATAATTTTCTGAACATCTTTCAATTATCTAACTTCTTTAGTAAATGCCTTATAGTGTCCCAATCAGCCAGCAAATTTGTTCATACACTGTAAATTTTCAACATTTATTTAATTGTTTTGTTTTTACGAAATGCGCGAACACCAAAATTACCAACATTGCATAACAAACTTGCTTGCTGGGTACGTCAACGTGGATACTGAGTGACAAATTGTGTTCTTTGAGGAAGAATATGTTTCGTTTAAAATCCCTGGTTAATTTTATTTTTAATTTTATTGATCGATATAGCGACAAGCACTTTTCACTTTCCTTTGTGTGGACCCAACACATACTATCGCAAAATTAATGTAAGATTGAACTGCACGTGTATGGAAGGATACTCAGGAGAATGTAACTCGTGCAGGAATGGTATGGATTTATTACTGTCTTTATCAAGATTTTTTATCACCGATCATGAATAAAGAGCATCTCTGTGCAGTTTTAAAACTTTGTTCTTTGTTGAGAATCCTGAGCTGTTCTCTGTGCTGTTGCTTCTGTGCAAGGAATTTGCTGCATTTACATTTTACATGTAACCACAAAAATAAGGCTCAAAGCCACACATACAAGTTCATTATTATCAATACAGTCAAGCAGGAAATTAGTAATAAATTTATGAAAAGCTTCAATACACTTAAAACTTCCTCGGCACACAACATTGAAAGTGTATGGTTCTCTAAATGACAATAGCATATGTTAATATTAACACATTTTGAGTTTCTCTACATTAAGGAGGGGGTAGGGTTAGGGTTAGGGTAAGGGTTAAGGTTAAGTTTAACACTCGTCCTGAAGTTAGTAATCTAGCCATGGCCCTGCTAACCTAGATACACCATATTAGACAGTCTTGAGTTTATTATTGGTTGGCTTTCCTAAACTAAGAATTCTGTAAATACAAACTTTAAAAAGCATTTTGACAGACATGCTTCCAGACAGGGGCTGCGGAAGTATCTCAAAAGTGGGGGGGGGGGAGGGGCACTGACCGAAAAGGGCATGTGAGTTTGCAGCTTACTGTTTTAGTATATTACAGATATGCATTGCTTCATGAATCATGATTAAGTTTCAAAGTCTGCAAAATATTGGTAGACATTCTTAGAATGCTATGCGTATTCTCTACTGCTCGGCGTGCGTGCTAACAAATTGAACTAAGATGACTACATGAACAATTTATTAAGTAATGCGATCTCATTAAAATTTCCCAAAAAATCTAACCCTACGTTCGTTTTTCAGAACAAAGTTCTTAGCTATTAAACGTAAGTCCAGTTCGTCAGTTCTGGCCTTGTTTACATGCATAACAATAAGATTATTGTAGCCTGCTGCCGTCATCGCGCTCCTGAGAAGTGTCTTGACAAGCCACTGGCATGAAAAAGATTGTTCTAAAGAGGCTGCACTCATTGGAGCAAGAAGGTAAATCTGCAAGTGTCGAACAACATTAGACATTGCCATGACAATCTGCGATGAGTTATTTTCTTCGGTTGAGAATATTCATGTTATGGTGTCAATTGATGTCACCTTCTTTACTTCTGGAAGTCGCTGCGAGATAACTCCTTCAAGAAGCTTTAACTCCGCCTTCAGCTGGTGAATGTCGAGGTCATTTTCGTAAAGGTGTTCAACTTCATCATTCAACTCAAACTTACGCCCGTTTGCTGCATTAATGAGCACGGTTTCGATGTTCATCAATACAGAATATGTTTTTTGATCGAAGCGCTCCTGTAGTGAAGTCAAGCACGCACCAATTACTTAGTTGTTTTAGCAACATTCTTCTTCAAGTTTCCTGGGTTTTCTTCAATTCCCTGACCAATATCGCTCCAACATCTCTTCTCGAATCATCAGATAATAAAACTTTCTCAGTCGCCTCTGAGTGAAATTTAGACTGAGAGTGTTTTTAAGTTTTCTCCGCACTTCCTCCAGTCAATGAATTCTCCTAGGAGAAAAGCCTTTTCACCATTATGACTGAAAGTAATAAGGTCTTGACGCATCGCTCTTTTACAGAAGTAACAGGCAATGGTGCCTTTTGTCATGCAGTATGTGCCCCATATATATTTCAAAAATATAGAAGACGGCCAAGTTCGTACATTCGACGATCCTCCTGTACTGGTTCTTTCTAGAAGTGTGCTTTATTTCTTCTAGGGTAGGATGGTAAGGATGTCGGCCTGTACAGCACAAACGCTTACAATCGAGTCCTAGCAAACATTCCGTTGACTCAATCTGCATAGGTCCTACCAATAGGGCGGTAGTCGTGGAACTTTGCAAAGACGCATACGTTAGGTTTTGAGAAGGTGTGTGAACTGGCTCGGTCGGCGGCGCGACTAGTATCTCTGAAGACGATGTAGAATCAGAATCGCCGAATTTTGGTTTGGAATGAGAATGAGGAGATAAACACGTTGATGGAGTTTCTGTAGCTGACGGCAGCATCAAATTAGACCTAGAGTCGATGTTTTGGTCAATAACGTTCTCTGCTGGAGCACTACTAAAAAAACTCGTCAGTTTTCGCATCCTTTTAGCTCTTTCTACAAGCACTTTTCCTTTTCTCGTTTTCGCCTAGCAGTTCTAGGCATTTTTAAACCGAAAAATTTTCAATTATTATGATTATGAATTGTCAACAGTTTTGTAGGACCAATGGCCTAAAAGACAATACGACGGGAGCAATGCGTTGCCGTAGAATTTATAGTCTCATGTGGATCATAAATTGCGACTTCTCATTGGTTAATTAAGTTACTGGGCGGACGTCTGCGAAGACAACCCCAATCGACAAACGCGATTTTTTATCAATTTGGGTAATCAAGATCAAAAACTAAGCTATAGCTGATTTCGCATGATGCCGACAAACTATGTTCTACTCTCGGGGCTACTTGTATCTAAGAAAAACTTCTTCTGTCAAATTTTGCCTAAAACAAGGGCATTTCTATACCATGAAAAAGGGCACTTTCATTCCAGAAAAAGGGCACATTTTTCCCTGTTGCAAAAGTGGGGGCACTTGCCCCAATGCCCCCGGTTCCGCGGCCTCTGCTTCCAGACCTCCTAGAATGAGTGCACCTCAATAATATTACATCAAATGTCTTCAACCAATGGATTGTAGCTTTATGAACTTATTCCAAGAACAGACAAATATGGCCGTTGTGCGAATACTCAGTAGGCTATGTAGGCTGAAGCTTACATTCCCGCGTTTTTAAAAGTCCTGTTCTCTTTAAACATAGTTTTTACTCTTTGCCATTCTAGATGAGATAAATGATCAAAATTTCAATAATATATCCTGTTGGAACTATACGATATACTATTATAATGCTCTATGTATAGAACTCATAAAGTAGTGAGTTTGTCTCGTTCGAAATTTAAATTTATTCTATAATGTTTACACTATGAGTAACAAAACTGAAGCAAAGGCAATGGAGCACAAGAAACGGAAACGTCCTCAAAAGTTATATCACTTAAAGTCCCACAAATTTTTCTAAGCTTACAGGCTGCGCAATTAGTCATCCGCCGCCGCTTAGTATGGATGGTATGCACTGATAATGTTCATTCATAAATATCTTGTTAACTTTCGATGTAAGAAAATTAGGTTTTACTATTAAGAATTCACTTCCTTTAAAAACCTAAATAAGCAATATTTTTAAGAGGTACAATAAATAAGGTCAAAAAATGTATGTAAATAATGGGTAATAACGTTTTTCAGTAGATGGCATTAAATTTCTACTGGGTTTAATAAAATTTCAAATGACTTTCTTACTATTCAATTTAACGCTATTAGAGTTAGACTGGAATTTTCTATTCAGACATAAAAAAATTTCATGTAAGCACACATTACAATGAAATTGACTTTATATTCTGAAATTGAGTGTATTGCAAAACAGCATCCCCACTTCAAATGTAATTCACAGTAGTCAATAATATCCATATCTTATATGCAATGCTTGTGTTCTGTAGGTTTCCAGCCTGTGAAACATGAAACAAGCAATTTTTAACAAATAATAATAATACCTAGTAATGATTTCATTCGCTTAAGAACACTTTTTCACAAAATTCAGTCATTTATCCTATCATAACAGAACCTTGAGAAACTGAATTTTTAACATTTTCAATTTAAATAGCCAAAGATTGCACTGAGGTACAAAATAATGGTAAGAACGAAAGTGGAGTTTATCAAATTGATCCTGATGGTAAAGGATACTTTGAGGTCTTCTGTGACATGACGTCATCGGGTGGTGGTTGGACTGTATTTCAAAGAAATAAAAGAAGTGGAAATACAGACTTTTATCTGGGTTGGGCGGAGTACAAACGTGGCTTTGGTAATCTTAAATCCGAGTTCTGGCTTGGATTGGACAAGATACATCGACTAACATCTGCAAGGAAAAATAAACTTCGAATTGATCTAGTAAACACGTCAGGCACTAAAAAATACGCTGAATATGAAGATTTTGTTGTAAAGGATGAAAATTCTAAGTATCAATTAAGTATTGGAAATTACACAGGTAAGAAAATATTGAAGAAAATGAGTGTTTGTGATAGCAAATTGCGTTGACAGATTGTACCTTAGGACCAGTTCATATGAGACGGGCCAGTCCGCTTATGCCAGGCTAGGTAGCTTTGCCGAGATCTCGCCTTGTATATTAGTTTACAATTTTTTTGAAATTGCGTTCATATGAAGAGCGGGCCAGACCGGCTTGGAGAGATCTGCTTGAAGGAAGCGAGATCTCGCTTCTAACGGGCTCATATAACTGCATCAATCGGGCCAGCCCGGCTGAACTGGGCTGGAAGCGATGAGACTGCGCATGCTCTTGTCTTATTTGGTTACTTAAATATGGCAAAAACTTTAAAACAACAACGTTTAATTGAAAATAACTTTGAAAATTTTATGTTATACCATTACAATAGTCGGTGGAACTCACTGGTAGCAACCAGATTGTTGAATGTCTGAGTCTAAATACAATTTAATTTTCCTAAAAAAATACAATATTTGTTGGCAGAAATTAAATACAACATTTCAGCTTGGCCAGCCCGCCTCGTGAATGCGAATACAAATTGGCCCGGCAAACTAGCTAGCACGGCTTAAGCGGGCTGGCCAATCTCATATGAACAATTTCTAAGGTCAAAGAAATGTATCGTCTGAAATGTCAACCGCAAGAAAGACCATTTACAATGCATTTGACTTTACATTTAGACAATATACAATGCATTAGCAAGATCATTTTGAAGAGCAGGATAATCAGTAACTTTAAAGACAAATTTTATTCCTCAGAAAGATAATAATTATCTAAATATTATCTACAAGCACAGCTCGTATTTCTTTAGCCCGTCTAAAAATTTACATTTTACATGGGTCAAACGCATTTAAAACAAACGAAAATGCGATAAAATTAATCATCTAAGTTTGTTTTGAATGCATTCGGCTCATGTAAATGCGACATCTGAAACAGGCTTGAGCACTTTTGCTTGTCTTTGCTCTTGTTTCTCCTATGTGTAATCCGGAAAAAGTATAACGCAAAAAAGAGCGGTTTATTTGTAATTTTTAATGATATGAAAAGATGTTTTCTTGCAAAGCATGCAAAAATGTAAGCCTGCAGCAAGAAATTTATAAAATAACAAATGTATAATTCGTCCTCTGATTGGCCGATGCGTGTGCTTGAATCAGGCAATATAAAGACTGAAATTTAAATTGCTGTGCGTTAATTTTAAACATGTCTGAGAATGAAGATGATTTATTATTATTCATATGACAATTTCTTTTGAAGTGTTGGATCGCCATATCTAAAGACTTGGGAATGTTCTTAGGTAAAAAAGCGGTGTAAATAACTCACAATGCTTTTCTTAACTCTCTTTTTATTCCTGTGTGTTTAAATCAAGCCAACAACGAAAAAAAACTGTTTAGCAAATACTCTTAATATAATATATATGCATCATTAAATGCATATAATGTTGTATATACAGTTTATTGTGAATAATGACAGAATGATAGGAGCAGTTTCTTTACGTTTTCAAAATACAAATCAGCAGAAAACTATAGAACTATTTCTACTTTTCAGGAACTGCTGGGGATGAATTATCCTATCACAATAACATGAAGTTTACAACCAAAGATTCAGATAATGATAAACTTGGTGGTGGAAATTGCGCTTTTTTCTATAAAGGTGGTTGGTGGTATAATCTTTGTTATCGTTCTGTACTAAATAGTAATTATATGTATTGGTTTGGTTTTAGTAACGTGAAAACCAGTGAAATGAAAATAAAACCATGAAGAGTTTTCATAAATATTTATAATTTCATGACAATGATCAATATATCTATCAAAACGTCATGTAAAAATATGTTTGATATGTTTGTTTATGAGCAAATATGCAAAAAATTGTGTTAATTTCATGAATTAATAAAAAATATTGTTTCAATCAATGAAATGGAGGAAATGTGAGTTTTTAACATGTTTATCTAAATGAAGCTGATGTCGTCAAATCATACTCAAAATAATTACAGTTTTTTGAGTTTTACCATGTTGTTAGCTGCCTTCTTTAAAGAGATATTTTGTAATTATTATACTTTATTCGTTATGGCATGATATGGTTTCATGTTTGTAAATGTAGATCGTCCAGGTTGGTATAGTCCTGAGAAGAACAGTTTTTGTTGTTGTTTACTGACGTTTCGAAAACCTAAGTCTATTTGACTCTGAAGATGCCTACCGCTAAGGTTGTCGAAACGTCGGTGAACAACAGCAAAACAGTACTTCTCAGGACTATACCAACCTGGACGATCTACATTTAAAAACATGTAACGATACTCCCGGGTGCAAGCCATTTACTTTATGATATGGTTTCTCACATTTAATAAGACTTGCACGTTTATATGGCATGAGCTGCTTTTTCAAAATAAACAAATTGTAAAAACAAAGGTTTGATATCTGCTTCCACTTAAATTAAAAATTTGCAAAGAGGATCGTCATGAAATGAATTGTATTTGCTTTATTGGCTTCTTTGTAACGTTAGATGCAAGTCATAATGAATAATAATCGTATATCTTGCACAATAAACTTTATTCTTTATTTAGCATCCTTCCTTAGTTAAGCTCCTTTTCTTTACAAAACCTCTTTCCTTATTCAACCTCCTTCTCTTTACAAAATCTCCTGCCTTACTTAACTTTTTTTTGCTAAACTTTCTACTCCAGTAAACTTTATACTTTACAAAACCTCCTTCTTTACTAAATATAAATTTTACTAAATTTCCGGGAGTTGTTGCTCTGTTTGACCTTCAAATCTGACCATGTAGTTATTACCATGTAGTTTCCCCTTCTTGATTGAAAGCTGTTCTAATTATCTAATTTTCAGGAAATAACGGCTTACCTATCTATCTTTAACCCCAATGCAGCCAAGTTTCTTAATATCTGTAGACCTGTTCAAAAAAAACTAGATTTTTCTTCAAGTACACCAAAGAAGCTGATAAATAAAACGTTAGACTCTGTAGCATAATTATCAATGCTGATTATCAAGGCAAATAGTAAGTAAAATTCTCAATGATAATATATGTAACGCATTTAAATGCCTGTAAAGAAAAATCCATTTATTTGTTTTCGTCCTTAGATTTAATCAAAAAAGTAAACCGGACGATACAAAATTTAATGACTGTAATCTTTGGAAAATCTTTTCATTTCAATATCGTCAATTAAACACAAACACATTGCGCGCTACCTAAATGATTTTCGTGATTTAAAATTAACACAAAACTTCATCCTTATGTTAGAGATATAAAAAACGCTTCTTTTTGCTCACATCACATCCAAAATTTATTTAATGATTTTTTAATTCTTTTTTCCTTTATGGGCTGTGGCGTAGCCAGCCCTCAATTAATTCTTTGTACGCCTTCAATTTATTCATGTTACGCCCTCAATTTATTCATGATACTTATTTTTTTATCATCAGCATCATTCGTTTTATTAAAAATTCATAGTATTATGAACAACAAAATGTTTACATGGCAAGAAGAAACTTGCGGGTTTGCTACGCCACTGATCATGTGATAGTTTCATGTACGTATATCTTTCCTTATTTCCTTATGTGTCAAATTAAACACTATTCCTGTTAATCCTATCATGCAATTTAATGCAATGTAATTTTTTAATTAGATTATTCATTTAGCTTGTTGTATCTAAGACTGTTGTAGATGTCTTATGTGTCTCGACAAAGAAACGTCTTCAATAGAAAAACCTTGATGCTACAAATTTATTTAAAAAATGCACGCTTTAAAATATATAAATATTGGGCTTACCTCTTAATGATGGAACATTATATTTATATAGAAGATAAAAGAAATGCTTGACCATTGAAGAACTGCTTTTCCTTCGTAAAACTGTTGATATTCCGTTTTCCAATGCATTGAATTTTTACGATAGGCTTGGCCTTCAATCTAATATTTTGTCAGTGTCAAGTTGACAACATATCTAAAGTTACAGCTATCTGAATACTTCTTCAATGATTAATACTTGGTTACTAAGTATGAATGATTTCAACAAAAAACCGCCATAAACTACTTTAAATGTAATATATATGTTAATTTGGATATGCATGATAAACACAAATCATAAAATTCCAAAGCTCTAGTGACATACTTTAATGTTGACAGCAGAGAACTTCGACTCCAAGAGAACATTCAAGTGAGCATACATAGAAACAGAGACTTGTGAATTCAGCGTCCACTTCGTTCAAACACAATCAACACTTTATCATTCGAGCTTTCGTGAGATTGTTCTTTGAGATCATATTAAAGCACCACATATATTGCTCTTGTAAACCAGTTAAATGCGATTTGGGTGTTTCGATTGTGGTCGTGTTTAGGGGTTTTATATTCTTGGATTGCATCCAACCTCCAGGGACTTATCGAACAATGTGCTCACCCAAGACGGCGGATGCCCACAATAACACTAATAAAATGCTTTTAAACGTGTAACTGTGTAAGCATTAGTAATGTGAACAATCATTTTATGCCCACGAAGACGAAAACAGTCACATTACAAACTCAAATAGCCGCAGTCGTTTTTAGTATGATTTAATTACATCAACTTCATTTAGATAAACATGCTAGAAACTCATATTTTATCAATATCATTGATTGAAACAATATTTTTTATTATTTCATGAAATGATTACAAATTTCTTGACTTCTATCTATAACAATTTTTTGCCCATTTTCTCATAGTAAACAACGAGTGTAAATGTTTAAGACATATTACATGACGTATTGTCATTGATATTGATCATTATCATGAAATTATAAATATTTATGAAAATTCTTCATGGTTTGATTTTCATTTCACTGTTTTTCACGTTACCAAGACCTCTCCAAAACATATCTTTGCCATTTAGGTTGGAATCGTAACATTCTTTATACCACCAAGCACCTTGCCAGGAAGCAGCGCAGTTTCCTACAAATTTGTCATTATCAGAATCTTTTGTTGAAAACGCCATGTCTTTATGATATTTCAATGCATCCCTAACATTTCCTGAAAAGTAGTAATGGCTCTTGAGCTCTATCGTGATCTGTATTTTAAAGTACACATGAACACATTTTGGTGGTAATTATTCTGATAGATTACATGTTTGTAAATGTGGATCGTCCTGGCTGGTATAGTCTTGAGCAGAACTGTTTTTGTTGTTGTTGACTGACGTTTCGACAACCTTAGCGGTAGTCATCTTCAGAGTCAACTTTTCTTCGCTAAGGTTGTCGAAACGTCAGTCAACAACAACAAAAACAGTTCTTCTCAGGACTATACCAACTTGAACGATCTACATTTACAAACATGTAACGATACTCCCGAGTTCAAGCCATTTACTTTATTCTAATAGATCTTAAAAAAGTTATTCAGAAAATTCTAAATTTCATTTTGGGTATTTAAATTTCGGTGTTTCGACGGCCTAATTTAAACACAGGACTCGACCAAAAAGAGAACTCATTGAATTTATGTTATTTATAAAATTTCTTACTCCAGGCTAACAATTTTGCATGCTTTAAAAGAAAAAATCTTTTCATCTCACGGAAATTTACTAATATATACCGTTCCTTTTTGTGCTGTCATGCTTGCACCATTCACTTCCTTGGTTATATAAAGACAAAACAAAAGAAATTGTACGTAAAAGGGCTTAAATACGAGCGGTACTTGTAGATAATATTTAGACAATTGTTCATCTTTCGCAGGAAATTAAATTTTTCTTTTAAAATTATTCTTGATAATGTATGGTGAATTTTTTAACTGTAAAGGTGGTATCTTTGTTGTGATTGACATTCTTTACGATCACTAGCAACGGAAACCCATATATTTCTTCCCCCTTTTGCAGGTGCCAAGGTCTTTCTGCAAAAGCAAACTTCGATTTAAATAATTTAAAAGTTTAAAGCAGTGCTTCAACAAGACAAAAATACTTTTTTAATAATGTATCACTGTTTGTTAAGCTCAATTATGAGTTGAAAAGTAAAAAAATACACAAAAATGCATTTTTCTAATATTACCCTATTTACAATCGAAATACAAATTGTGTCGACTTTGTCATTATTTCACTTTACTATCTTTTCAAGTGGACAACAAATAAGATACAATCTGTCTTTCAAAACTACTATCACTTGCATAATACTCATTTTTTAAACCATTTTCTTACCTGTGTAATTTCCAATATTCAATTGATATTTATGATTTTCATTCTTTACGTCAAAAACTTCATATTCAGCGTAACTTTCATTTACTGACTTGTGTACTAGATCAATTCGAAGTTTGTTTTTCTTTGCAGATGTTAGTCGATGTATCTTGTCCAATCCAAGCCAGAATTCGGATTTAAGATTACCAAAGCCACGTTTATACTCCGCCCAACCCAGATAAAAGTCTGTATTTCCTTTGTATATATGTCTTTGAATTACAGTCCAACCACCACCCGATGACGTCATGTCACAGAAGACCTTAAAGTATCCTTTACCATCAGGATCTATTTCGTATATTCCATTGTGTCTTACACTTTTTCTGTAAAGATTTGCGCAGTCTTTTCCTGGTAATACAGTTCAAAATTTCAGACAACCTTTTTAAACAAATCTTGGTTTTTACCAATAATGATACATTGCTAAATGTTTGCCCTGTGTATAATACAAAACGTTTTAGAGTAAATGGTTTCAACCCGGGAGTATCGTTACATGTTTGTAAATGTAGATCGTCCACGTTGGTATAGTCCTGAGAAGGACTATTTTTGTTCTTGTTGACTGACGTTTCGACAATCTTAGCGGTAGTCATCTTCAAAAGCGATAGTGATGTAACAAAACGTATACTTATTCAGTTCATTCTTATACCTGTGAGCGTTTTATTTTCTTGATGAAGAAGCAATTTCTTTTTT